CTGACATCCTGTCCTATTTCTTCTCTATCAGTGGCCCATGGAAAGGTGGAGGACCTCTAGTTCAGGGAAAGAAGACTAGAAAGCGCTTTTTTTGTGTGTGTATGTGTGTGATTTTGCCTGGGTTTTTCCAGTTTTCTCTGCTTCTACGCTTCCAGTCACTAAGCTAATGTCAGCCACATACATTTTCCCAGTGGGGTTTGTACTCCTACAGCTTGGAGTTAGAAAGACTCTGTCTCCTGTGTGAAGAGACGATGTCAGTTTATTTGATTTTCCTTGGTATGAATGGAGTGGATTACTCTTTCCCTCCAGCTTGGCACCATGTCTGGCACATACTGGGCACTCAATAAATGTTTATTGACAGACTGACAGAAGCAGCCTTCAGAGCCATGGAGTGCCCTCCTGTCTTTTTCCTCTTCTTTTTCCATTACCTGTGTCTCTCTCTGCCCCATAGCGCCCCAGCACTCCTTAGGTCAGCTAGTGAATGTGAAGGCATTGCTTTGTCACACTTGTGACCCTGAGAGTCAAGGAGGTAGTTTTAGGAAAACCTGGGGGAGGGGGAGAGAAAATATGTTCCTGACTCTAGACTGAATGACTGAAACAACTGGACAACAATGCGTTTCTTTGAGTCAGCCTGTTGCTTAAGCATACCCCTGGCAAAGGGTATATGCTTGAAACATTGGTTTAGTGGTTTCTCCATCCACCAGACCTCTCTCTTCTGGAATGAGAGCGATGGGGACAGTATGAGAGCACTGGGCACCAGGAAGAAAGGAGTGGAGGAGGCAGATCCTGAAGTGCAGCATGGCGGACAGGGCCTAAAAGCCCAATTCACTCCCTTTGTGACTTTTTACAAAAGTTGGATTTGATGATGCTAGACTTGCTTTATTTGCAGTGCTTGGATTAGAAATTCCCATCACATTTGTCCCAGGGCCTGCCCTCCTACTTTTTAGAGATGATCTTCAACCTACTGTTTTGAATGGATGGATATCACCTTTCTTTTTGCCTAGCTCCCTATCAGTTCATTCTCCAGTAGTTCAAGTTTCGCTCGCACTTGGATGCAAATAGCCTGTGGTTTTTTCCATGGAGGTTAATTCACTTGATGCCATTTTTGCTCCCAATCTCTGCCAATCCATCTCCAGTCATTTGGTTGTCATAATTACATTGGGAATTGACAACAGAAGAAGATGACTAAGGCATTATGCCTCCCTTCCTGGTCACTGTGGGGAGTACCTTTTTTTTTTTTTTTTTAAGTTTTAATTTTCTTGCTGAAGCTCCAAATGCCACAGGCTCAGAGGAAAATAAATGAAGTTCCTTGAGGATCAGTCAATTAGTGGTAGATTAAGTAATGGCACTTTTTTTTTTGCCATTGTATGTAAATGTAATTGAATCTGCTGGAGTGAAGAAGGCCATCATATCCCTGTTTTTTCCCCTTTTAGATTGGAGCTAAAATGAATCAGAAAGCTAAGGGCCATCGCTGCCATTTAAAGTCTCCATTTCTTTTCTCTTTGTTTCTTGATGTTAGCCATCTTGATTCATTGGGCTCCCAGTTAACTATGTGTGGGGGCCTCTTAATTTAATCTACTATTAGCAGTAATGGAGTCATCAGCATCCTTAGCTTGCCATTATTTATAAACTTCCCTTCTTCGTGTTTCATGACTCAGAACAAAGTGACAAGTAGACCAGGACTCCAAGCTAGTACCCTCAAATTTGTTTCCCTTGATGCCAGATCTCCTCTGCTGGCACTCACCATTTTAAATAGCCGTTTTATATATTCATTGAAGAGCTTTGCACCCTTGAGGGCCTTTAGTTCATTGTTATTTCCCAGGGGCCCTCCCTCCCCCATAAGAATCCAGGGCCTAGTGTCTAGTAAGATTTTTTCCCCCCTAGAAACCCAAGTGGAGGAAATAGAGGGGTCCAAGATGAATTTGCATATATTTGGCATATACATACCCGTCTGATTTTTGCTACTTGAATTGTATCATTTCTTGCTCTCCTCTTCCATCTTTTCTCTTCCCTCAACTGATCAGGATTCCCCCACATCCCAGACTGGGGTAGGTTTGAGATAACAGGAGCCAGAAATCTTTGCTGTGTCTTTTGGGGTTCACAGTCCACACCTTAGATGATACTTTTAAAGTTTACAGAACACTCTCCTCAAAACAATCCCAGGGAGAATGAGTGGTAAAATTATTAATATCTATTTTTTAGATGTAACTGAGGCTCAAAGAGATTGTGACCTGACTGTGGTCACATAAGTAGAAAGTGTCCTAACTGGAGTCTGGACCCTGGGTCCCTGAATTAGATTAAGCCAGACCAGGAAGGAAGGCAGGAAGTAAACAAGCATTTGTTCAGGGCCTACTCAGCGTCAGGCATGTGGGGATACAAATAGAAACGAAAAGGCAGGTAGTCCTTGTCTTCCGGGAGCTTATGTTCTAATGGGAGAAGACAACACATAAAAAGGACCTGGCAAAGGGGTAGGGGGTACCTGGAATGGTTTTGGAGTTCAGAGAAGAATTCTGAGGCTTACATCTTTGGGACATGTGTCCCAAGCCCCTTGGGAGGGCAGGGCAGGTTGCTGCAGAGGAAGGACTTCTTAAACCGATTGAGAAGGGAGCTAAACTGAAGCAGTACTTTTTTCTACCAGGAGAGATTTGTTCTCCACCATGGCGGTAAGTGAGGTAGGCAAGACTTGCTTCATGCTGTGATGTCTGCTTCTGGAATGACTTTGAGATGGTGAATTAAGAGAACTGGAATCATCCATCTCCCCTCCATTTCCACCTACCACATGGGACAAGCTGAGGGACCCCCGCTTTCTTTCCCAAGCAAGCTCTCTGCCTCAGCTAGTTCTGTCATCCATACTTACTTGTGGGAGCAGATCAAGCCAGATCTGCCCTCTGCCCTGGATTGCACCTCTGCTGGCAAAACTTTGGCTTTTAGTCTCCATCTACTGCTGGCCAGCCTAGCAGCATTTTTGTGCCATGATGGGATCTTGGCAGGGAAGTGGAAACTCTCCTTTGTTTTCAAACCTGTGGGGGCCTCCAAACTACTTGACACATTGAATGGTCAGAATATTTTTCAAGAGTAAGGGCATCTATCTTTTCATTGTGATATGGAAAGGACCATGTTGAGAGAAGTTTGAATTTTTCAGGGCTCTGAGTGCCAGTATGGTCCCAATAAAATAGGTGGACTGTTAAGTAGAAAGTTACTACAACAGCATAAAATTGGATAGGGATTAGAGGCTGTCTTGAGGATTGTTATTTTATGCCTGGAGGTGTCACACCTGAAGCTTGACCCCGATGTAGAGTGAAGGAAGAATAATCAATAAATCCATATGTTGTGCTTTGGTTAAGCTTCCTGTTTAGGAGGCTAATAGTTGTTTTTAAGTAAAAAACCTCATGCTTTAACCAAGGCTGTAAGCCATAGGAGTAGATAATTGAATTTATCCTGGATGAGCAAGCTCTGATATGGAAATAATTAGGCTGATGCTTTTGGTGAAATGTGTCGATCTTTGGCCATGAGAAAGATGCCACTTTCTGTGGGGGCATCTGTCCCAGGCCTCATGCCAAGTTGTGAGACAGCGGGGGCCTCTGCAGCCTGATCCCCTTGGACTAAAACAAAGAAGAAGGAAGGCCTTCCTTAAGGTGAGTGTTTGATGACTTGACTAGTGTAGGACCGCTATTGAATGGGCATTCATTCTCAGGCCTGGAAGCATTCTATGTCATTCTACTTCTAGAGGTTGTTTGTGAAAAACTGATTGTCCGCCGGGAGTCCACCTACTTCAGCCGTCTTTAGTCCAATATTTATTACATTTAGCAGGAGTCCCTCCTGTTTTTGTGATGTATGTCAGCAGATCAGTGGGCCTGTGCTTCGTAAAGCGTAGGCTGGTGGTGGCTCTGCCTTATTGCTGGTTTCATGTGTTAAATTCCCAGTTGAGAAATTCAGATTGAACTCTTGCTCTTTTATTGCCTAAATGAAGCGTCAGGCCTCTCTATCTGCCAAGCCTGTTTTGCACATTTCACAGCTGGGAGCTTCTTCTACCAGAGTGACTATAGGATGAGGGCCAGTGTGCCTTGACCCCTTTGGCCAGAGCTTCAGAGGATAAATGTGTGCAGCCATGCTGTGCCATCACTGTCCAGAACCAAATGACTCTTCTTTTGCTTTTAGGCAGACAGCTCTGGCAAGCAAAATCCTAGCTTGGAGCCTGGTGGTAGACTAGGAAGGTGAAGAATTCTTGCTCAAGTTCAAACATTGGGTACTTGCTTTAATGGAGAACATCCTGCCATGCCACAGAATGAGCCCAGTCTTCAGCAACCCTTTTCCCCAAAGAGGGGGTGTGAGAGAAAGTAACTTCCTTGCCCTGCAATTCAGGCCGGCCCTGTTGGAAGGCTCCAACATAGTCAAATGCGCTCTCCAATCTCATCGCCAGGAGAAATAGCATTGTTAACATGTCAGGTTACCAGGGAGGTGGCTGAGGTTCCCCTGATAGGTAGCCTCTATGTCAAATATGAAGCACTTTGAAGATCTTTGAATGGTTTCTTTCTTCCTAATATTAAAAGGTTTTCAACTTATAACTTAAAAAAAAATCCGAATTTAGGTTTGCTTTAGATGTAGAGGAACTTCCTTATCTGCTGCCCTGTGCATGGGCTGTGACTCCATAGGGAGGGACTCATGTACATCCCCTAGTCATGCCGACATAAGGACCCAACCAGGAGCCCTAACCAAGAGCCGCTGGTTGTACATGACCTCTAGTAAGGGGCCATTCCATATATCCTTCCCCATAGAACAAAAGAGTTCTTGACCAGCTCCAGGGGGCTTCCCTCCTCCCCACACTCCCCAACAGGGAATTCCCCTGATCACCCCTGTGTATGTAGGTTTTAAAGGTGGCAATTTTGCAAGCGAAGATGCTAGTTTATGTGTGTGTTTTAAGTGGGGTATATAGAATTTGCCTCTTAAAGAGGAAATGCAGTTTATATGCGAACAGTGTTTTACAAGCCATATTTCCTCAGGACACAAAGAAGGTGGCAAGAGGAAGAAACAGAAACAGAGAGAAGAGCAGAAGAAGAAGAAGTCGACCAAAGGGAACCATTAAAACGGACTTGTCAGAGGCGCCAGTACCTTTTCACCACATGATCCTATACCATTTGAACACATCCCTGTGTGTGTGTGTATTGTTTTGGTTGTACACACTGTTAGGCAGAAGACAGCTCGTGTTTTAATATTGTACTAAATTTGCACTATCACAGTTTCTCGTGAGACTCCGGACATTTTAATAACGGGTTGTCAGGTTAGGCAGGTGAGAAGACTGCCAGGTTAGTGATTGGTGGTTTGGTGATGTGTGTTGTGTTGGCAGTTTGGAAGATTGTAGATGTTTTTACCTTGTGTCCTTCCCCCACTGGGGCTAAGCGCCTCTCTAGCGAGCGTTTTCCTCTGGGTCCTGCTGTTAAACCTCTGTCTCACTCTTTTCATCCATGCAACTCTCATACAGACTGCTGCCACAGAGCCCTGATGAAGCTGACTGGTGACAGGTTGGGCCATTGAAGGATCTGCCAAGTGACCCTTTTTCCGTAAGGGAGGTAGAACATATGCTACTTAGCAAGATAATTAAAGCTGGCATAATTTAAGAAAACTGTAATACTGTGAGCTAGACATTGATTCATGAAGAAGGTACTTTCTCTTAAGTAGAAGATAACCAGGCCTGGGCCCAGATGTTTCTGGGCCTCTGACTTTGTCTCATCATAGGTACTGCCAGGTGACCAGTGAAATCATTCATTCCTTACTTTCATTATGACCTTAGTCCCCAAACTCTCCAAACCGTCCAAATTCTGCTTTAAAATCCTGTTTGTTTGTTTGTTTTTTGCGGGGGGGAGGTATGTGATGCAGAATCTTGTCCAAATTCTACTTCGAAATTCAGGGTTTTTTTTGGGAGGGGGTGGTGGTGTAGAATCTCTTCTTTTTTTAATCGTATTTATGAGATTCCCTTTTAGGGGATGTACCGATTCTGCCCCAATAATCCTTGTTCTACGGTGATATTTTGACTCTTCTCATTAGGGTCATGATGAGGGGAAGGAATAAGTTAGTTTAAAGAGACATCTGCTATCCTGAAGGAATAGGCTGAGCTGACTTTAGTTTGCAAACATTCTCTTCATTAAAAAAAAAAATCATTTCTTTTGAATCTGACAGGATCACTTTCCAGCTCCCTATAATTATTTCATTTGCATGACCTTATTGCTCCTTAACCTTTTTTTTTTTTTCCCTTTGAGCACTCACTAGAATTTTTGTATTGCCTTAACTTGATTCCTTGCATGTTCCTTGGCAGTGAATTCCTCTTTCCTTCTTAACACCAGGGCCTCTGGGTCACACTGGTTTGTTCTTTTGTGTCTTTGAGCTGTAGTCATCGTGAAATCTTTGATGTGACTGGGGAAAATGAAAAAGCCAGCAGCTTCCACCTAGCACTGTTGAAGGCCGAGCTCTCTTTGGTAAAATGCAGCGTGTCAATATGCTGTAACAACACACCGAGCTTGGGAAGCCAGAATACAAATGTAGCCACTGCTTGTATGGAATGATTGTTAAAATAATGTTTTAAGGGCCTTTTATCAGAGGTGGGGGGAGCGGGGAGCGGGGAGGGAAGGAGGGTAGGTTAATTGAGAACCCTGGGGTGGCTTAGTATTTATGCTTGTCATGAAAACTGTAACCTTAATAAACATTGATTCTTTACTTCATATGCAGGATATTTTAGGTACTACATATGTGAAACATTAAGATTTAGCATAGCCCTTCTGTCGGTCACTTGATAAGTACCAATAAATTGTTTGTGCTGTGTTACTAATATTTAAAAATAAAAGCAATTCTCTTCATTGTTTTGTCTTTTTTGGGAGGTGGGGTGGGGGTGGAGGAGTGGATATTTTAAATGGATTTGGCATCATTTTCAACTATTACTATGAAAATATAGGGACACTTTATTTGGGGGGTAGGGGTGAGGTAGGTGTGGAATAAATGCATACTAGGAGAAAGGAAACTAAGCTAACATCCTCCCCTCCCATTTCACACAGGAAATATTGAGTCTAAATGACACTGACAGAGTCCATTGGACAACTATGCCAACCCAAACTATAACTAGGGTAGGGCAGCTGGGCCTTTGTCCTCATTGCTGACGTTTGGATGGGTGGGTTTGCTCCTCTCTACTCATTGTGGCTCTTGTCTCACCTCTTGAGCTCTTTTGTTGGTCTATGCCTCTGCCCTGAGGGGTTGGAGGGGGTGGAGGGAGGTACTGTTGGAGGCCAAGGGAGCTGACCCTTTATCAGTGGTAATCACAGAGGGAGTGGATAGGCCATTCCATTTCCATCATGGTAATTATCCACTGTTTCCTAGGTCCATCTGCCTTAAAAAACCTCTTTCCCTTGCTCTCCACACACTCTCCTCCCTATTCATATCCACCTTAGTCATCTCTAGTTCTTATAATTCTCTGCATTACCTTTCCACTCTGCCCCTTGGAACCCCAATCTTCTGTTTAACTCCCCTTCATCATTGATGTCTCCATGTTTTTTTCCATCTTCTGGCTCATTAAAACTTAGCTTTATCCTGAAGACATCACATCTCTTGACACCTTTCCAAGTCTGGAAATCCTCTCACTCTGTAACCACAAGAGGAATTGGCATTCTTCAGAATCGACTCCATCCTATCGAGACCCTCATTGAGGTCATTTGTGAATCTTTAGGTCACTCTCCCTATTCCCCAATAAGTTCAATGAATCACAGTCTGTAACACACCAAACCCTGCGCCTTCAAACCCCCTGACTTCTCATTTCCTCTGCCTCCTCCACTCCAGGACCTCTGTTTACAGTCCATCCTGTGAATGTTTATGCCTTCTCATCCACTTCTTCAGCAGAATTTGCCCCAGGTACTGAAACTCCAAGTTATAACCATTGCTAAGTTTTTACAGAGAAAATATTTGCTACAATCCAATAAACATTGAGGCAGGGGTGTGTATGTGTGTGTGCAGGGAATGGGGAGAGTTCAATAACAGCTGTTCCCCATATGAGATAGAATATGTTCCGAACTTTGAAGTAAGGAAGCTAAGAATTCCAAAAAGCAGAAAGAGGGAGTGTATTCCAGACATGGGGTCTATGCAAAGTCATGGAGGTAGGAAGTAGAATGCAGTTTAGGTCAAAGCATGTGGGCCACTTTGGCTGGCACAGGAGTAGGTAAAGGGGTGAAATATGTAGTGAACCTAGAAAAAGGCTGGGAGCCCAGCAGTGGAAGGCTTTAAACCTTCAGTTGGGAGTTTATGTCTTGTCCTAGAGGCAGTGAGGTCCTCAAAAGGTTTTTGAACAGGGGACTGACATGGTCACACTTGTGATTTTAGCAGATCATTTTGGCTGCTGTATAGAAAAGGATTTGGAGAAAGGAGAGGGTCCAATTAAGGGATGGTCCACTGTTGTGGTGGCCTGGGTGAGAAGTGGTGACCGTGAGCAGAGAATAGCAGATACCAGTGAAAGATTGGAGATCTCCAATCGCCATGGAGATTGAATTGACAAGATCTGGCAACTGATTGGGTCTGGGTTGAGGGAGAGAGGAAAGAGTTGAGGATGACTTTGAGACTGCAAGCCTGGGTGATTCTGGAATCATAGATGTAGAGATAGAAAAGGGATGGAAACCTCCTCATTGACTTGCTTGAGGTCACATGGGTAGTTAGTAGCAGAACCAAAATTTGAATCCCTGTTTTCTGACTCCAAATGCGATATTCTTTCCAGTTCAGGACAATTGGAAGGACAAAAACAAAAATGCAAGTTGTGAGGAAGGGTGGTTTTAGGGAAGAAGGTAGACCAGGAGAATGATGGATGAGTTTTTCAAACTTTCTGGGCCTTCAGATAGTGATTGTTGAGTGAGGACCAAGCATGGAAGACAGAATCATTAACACTGTTTCACGAAGTGGCAAAACCAGTGAAGGGGGCACTTGTGTGTCTCATTTTGGACTGGGAGGTTTTTCACCATGGAGATTTAATCAGTTGTTCATCTCAGAAGCGCAATCACCAAAATTTGGATCAAGCTGATAGTTTGATCCGTAGGCAATTCCGTATACCTGATAGGGGAAAAAGTTCTGTAGCTGAATAAAGCTATAGCAATCCCATACATCGACTCATCTATTTATATGTTCTGAGTCACCATCACAGGAAGAGAATGGGTTTGTTTTTTTTTTTAATTTAGGGATGAAGACGAGGCAATGTTGGGAATGTGACTCCACTCCTCAAAAATCCTCAGTGGCTCCCTATTGCCTCTCCTTAGCTTGGCATTTAAAGCCCTCCACAGCCTGCCTCCAGCCTATCTTTTCAAACTTATTTCACATTGTTCCCCTTCATGTACTCATTGTTCCAGCCAAACTGGCCTCTGGCCTATTGCATGAACTTGGAATTGCATTTATAGCCATTGTGCTATATATGCCTGGAATCTACTTCTCATAGCCAATTCTTAAAACCCTCTTCTTTCGAGGATCAGCTCAGTACCTATTATAGGTAGCCTTTTCTGATCCCCAAGTGTTAGAGTTCTCTCCCATTATCTTAAACTTATTTATATTCTTTTTCATATGATATTTCCCCAGTAAAATGAAGACTCTTTGATAACAGTGATGATTTCTGCTTTTTCTTTGTAAACCTAGCACCTAGCTCGGTGCCTTGCTCATAAAAGGTGCTAATAAATAATGAATGAATGGAGTCCCCTAGTGGCAGAAGTCCCAGGTATATATGACTCTAACCCTAAGTAAGGGCTATTGAGAGCCAGAGCAAACACATTGCATACCTGTCTCAGGCATTCGGCTGGGAAATAGTAGTTTTAGCACTTTAACAGACTCTAAAGCAGGGGTTCTTAACCCAGGGTTCACAGGGATAGATTTCAGGGGGTCAATATTTTAAAAATAATTTAACAACTATTTCAATATAATGCATTAAATTTTTTTTAATATTTAAAAACATCCTTCTGAGAAGGGGTACACTAGACTGCCAGAGGGATCTGTAATAAACAATAAAAGGTTATGAACCCTTGATCTAAAGAATTAAAACTTAGCAAATAGAGCTAAAAGTTCAGCCCCGGTGCTGTGATCTATTCCAGTTTCCAACACCCTGGTGTTTGTCCATTAGAGATGAAACCACATCAATGCACATTTCCCCTGCTCATTTTGGTTAGGGTGGGTGATGGGGAGAATAGATAATAAAGCTGTGCTAACAGGGACTAGTGCCAAGCAGAGCGGCTAAGACTAGGCAGAAGACAGAGGAGACTAGCTGGGAGTGTGTGGGAGGCTGTGAAGGCAGGAGATGAAAGATGCAGCTTGCAGACAGAGGAAACAACAGGAGATCAGAGGATAAAATAGCAACTTGTATCAAAGGCTAGGGGCCCAATTGGAGCTGTGCCGGACCAGTGATTATACATCTAAGCAGATGGTAGGACTGGAAGACCAGAGAGGATCAAATCAGGGAAGGGAGCAGCTGTAGAAGAATGTTACTGCAAAAGAATAATGAATGGGGCAGCTAAGGATAGGGTTTTTTTTTCCTTCAGCTGATGTGGGGTCCCTGATAGAGAGGGATGGGGAGTGGGAGGTGGCCAAAAAATCCGAGGTCAGGGAAATAGGAATTTCAATTTAACCCAGCAAACATTTATTGTTAAAACCTTACTATGTTACAGGCACTGGGAAGATGATGACAAATATAAAATTGTCCCTGCCTTTAAGGGGCTTCTAATGGGATGGGTTGAAGTTAACACATTTGTGAAGCAATCTGAAATGGGTCCCTTAGAGCTCTGGCTTAACTCTCTTCCCTCTGTGGTTCTCTGTCATTGAATAGAGGAGCTTTTCCTGCTGAGGATGCTGGAAAGGATATGGCTTAGGGGAGGCGGAGGGGGCAAAGATCTTCTAGCCCTTCTGGGGGCGTTCTCCCTGTCTGGATTCTGATCTCGCTTCTATCCCTCTATACTATTACCCTCAACTCTGGTGATCAAAATATGGGAAAATCCCTTTTCTTTTCCATTTCCATTAAGGCAGAGTTGGAAAAGGAGGCTTTTCTCTCTTAAAATGGCCTTGACAGAAGTCAGCAAGCATAATTCATTTCCATTTTCAAACAACAGAAAAAAAATTGTATAGGAAGCTATGTATCTCTATTATGTAAAGCCCTTGAAAACTATATAATAAATTTAACATGGTAATTCCAACCCTGTCCTATTTGTCTCTTTCTGAACTTCCTTTTACTCTCATCTGTATGTTTTATAAATGTTTCATTAATATTCTTTTCTGATTTTTTGACACTCCTATTTACTTCGCTCCTCTATGACTCTCTCTCACTAAAATTAAACAAACAAACAAAAAAAACAACCAACCTCCCTTGTAGCAAGTATAGTCAAGCAAAACTGATCCATACATTGGTCATTTTGGAAAATGTATGTCTCACCCTGCACCTCTGCTCTAGTGCCTCCCAGCCAATCGGTGGGAAGTATGTTTCACCATCATTTTTCTGGTTTCCTGATGGGTCACTGAAATGATCAGAGTTCTGAAGTACTTCAAAGCTATTTTCCCTTTCAACATTGTAGTTATTTTATAAACTTTGGAACTTCTTGTTTTTAAAAAAAAAATTGAGGCTGAGGAGGAAAGAAAACAATCAATGCCATTAAAAGTGTAGAAATGGGTGTTTTGCAGAGATCCTTGATCACAATTTGAGTGAGCTCTAGCCATTGATTAGATTGGCCTTTGACACTGACCCCTTTTTCTTCTTTTCACCCAAACTGTCAAGGGGAACTACTCCCAAGATCTCTTTCTAGACCATGGAAAATTTTCTTTCCTCCTTTTATTTCCTTCAGTACCTGTGGAGAGGATCAGG